GAACAGAATCGGTCCCAACACTGTACCTTGTGGCACTCCACTTATCACCAGCTGGAAGGATGACTTAGTTCCTTCAACGACCACTGTCTGGAGACGGTTTGTTAGGAATTCGCTTAACCACTGGAGCATGTTTCCATGAATTCCGTAACGTTTTGCTTTTGCAAGTAGTATGTTGTGATCCACCTTATCGAACGCCTTGGCGTAATCGAGGTATATGACATCTACTTCTTCGCCACTGTTCAGGCTTTTCAATATGGTATCTACATGGTCTAAGAGTTGAGTTAGGCAGCTCCTCTTTTTGCGAAATCCATGTTGATGCGGTGAAAGAAAGTTATTCGCTTCCATATGTTCGACAAGGTTGTTTCGTATCACTCTTTCGAAGATCTTGATGATATGCGATGTTATAGAAACAGGGCGGTAGTTGGCAGCCTCTGTGCGGTCACCCTTCTTGTAGACAGGGGTAATAAACTGCGTTTTCATGCTAGGAGGGATTACTCCAGTTTCAAAAGAATCTTGCCAGAGTAGAAATATGGGCTCGGACAATGTCTCTCTACATTTGGTCAGGATCCTAGCAGGGATATCACCATCAGGGGTCGATGAATACGGGTCCAGTTCCTTGATGGCTTCTGAGATATCGTTAACTGAGAATTGCATTTGATCGAGTTCCTTAACTGGCACAGGGTTCAATCCAGCAAGGCTTTCCTCGATGTGGGCTTCATTTGGGTCACTAAATACTTTCACATATTGTGCCTGGAGGAGCTCGGCCTTTTCCTTGGGGTCAGTGTGCAGTCGACCTTCTCTATCTCTGATGGGGGAGACAGAAGATTTGACTTTCGCAAACTTCTTTGCGTAGCTGTAGAAGTAACGTGGATTTGTCTTTATGGTAGTGACAGCTTTAGCCTCGCGTTCGTTGAGCTCGTTGATGATCAGCTCACTTATTTCAAATGCCAAGAGGTCCACTTCATTTCTAAGCTTTGCAAGGACGGGGGACGTAGGGTTTCTTTGAGTAATGGCATTCATGCGGGCGTTGATCTTCCTCTTTTTCCTTTTAAGCGTATACTTTTTACGACAATGCTGGTTTCTGTGCACTGGGGAAGCACCTGGCTTATTATTGTACGGGGAATTGAGGAGAGTGACCTGGAGCACAGTCAAACGGATGAGTTCCAAGAAATTACTCCCATTCTCATCGTCTTCACAGAGTCTTTTAAGTTCCTTCCAATCTATTGTTGTTAGAAGTTCATTCATAGCTTCAAAGTCAGCGTTGTGATAATTTACTGCTCGAAAAGAGTCTTTATCTACAACTTCAGTTGAGGTTTGCTTGGGGCTGAGAGGGTTGTGACCTAGTAAAAGCTCAACAAGTCTATGATCAGACAGCTGGGTCTCACACACGTTCGTCTCGATTACGTCTTGGGGCTTGTTGGTGAGTATCAAATCAATAATGTTGCTATCTCTAGTAGGTTCATGAATCATTTGACTGAGAAAGTTCTTGTTCATGAAGTCGAGTAGGCCTGAGCAGGCTCTTTGATCCGATTGGGTTTGGCCGGCGAGGACATTTGAATACTCCCAGTCTATATTGGGGAGATTAAAGTCTCCCATTATGTAGAGGTCCGGTGTTCTGTTATCGGAGGTGAGGGCGTCTAGTTTCTTTTGAACTAGGTCCAGAATTCCTTTGAAAGATTCTGTTGGAGCGTCCGGTGGGCGGTAAATAACTACAGCTAATGTATTCATTGAGTCTATGAAACAGTAAAGCATGCTGCAGTGTTTGTCACTATAACTAAAACAGTCTGAAAATAATAGTGACTCCTCAATGTAGAGCACACATCCACCACCCTTTCGAAAAGGGCGATCAGTCCTTACAGAGTTGTATCCCTCTATCTTGATCTGTGCATCACTAATATATGGTTTTAGCCACGACTCCGTGATAGCAAGAAATGGGGTGGTGGGGGATTCTTTGTCGTGGAGCATATGATCTCTGATGACGGGTATTTTCCACTTGACAGTACTAGTGGCGGCAGGTGAGATTGATCTGGCATTTAGTAGCAAGATCCTGCATAATTGGGATGAAGGCCCATTTGATGCGGTAGTTGAAATGACTGCATTGGTGCAGTCATTGGGAATGGGGGTCGGACTTGTCCTTGAGGTGGAGGGGCTTGGAGTTGGCTTTGGGAGGATGGTTGGCGTGATCTTGACTGGGTTTCTTGTATTAATGTCGGGATTTCGTCCCGAAGCTTCATGAGCTTTGAGTCCATTTCGGATATAATTCCGTTCTTGAGGTTTTCCAGAAGTTTCTCTAAAAAAGCACCGTCTCTTTCTCTTTCAGAGTAACTATCCTTGCGTGTTCTAGCCTGTTTCCAGTTATCCACAGTTGGCGGGTATACTGTGTTTACTGAGTTTAGGCTGCCCATTTTGTCGGGTTCAATGGAGCTTAGAGGTGGCCATTGTCCTCGGGCTTGGTTAAAGTCTGGTCTTCTTAGACCTCTTTGTTGTTGCGGCTGATTTTGCTGTTGTTGCAGGGGCTGGGACCTATCTATTCCTGCATTTGTGGCTCCAACAGTCTTTCTAGCAGTTCCTTTCAAGTGATGGAAGCCGCACTCTTTATGGAAACAAGTTCGGGTAGCCACTGAGTTTCTGCACAGTTTTGGGTGAAAGAAGTTGCAATTTTCCCCTTTCTTGCAGCCTCTTTGTTTGTCGTCCCCAAAATCTGAGTAATATCGGCACCTTTTGGGATGCAGATATGGGCATCCTTTGCCATTTATCAGGCGTTTTCCAGTGAGGCCATGGTGGCATCTTCTCATGACATATTCTCTGCAGACCACACTCACAGTGTTAGTCTGTTCTTCGTTCAAGTTGTCGTCTCTATTCCTTCTAGGGCTCTCTCTATCCTCTTCTGAGGTGATATGTTCTTCTCCTTCCTCGTCATGTTCTTTGATAGGATCCAGAATACCTTCAGACGAGCTTTGAGAGCTTCTTGCCTTGGGGGGCTTTTGAGGGGGCTGTAGGGACAGGTCGTTTTTACGGTCGCACTCATAACAGAGCCACAATCCTTCAGGCGGGAAGAATCCCTTCTCGATTAGTTCTTTAAAAGCGGTCGCTTTTTCTTTCATCTTTTCACAATTGTGCGAACCCTGCATACAAAGCCGACATCTTAAGAGCGGTTGGACTGTCATATCGTTGTGGTATACAGTTGAGCAGGCATCACAATTGGTGTCGAACAGGGACTCGATCTTGAGTATCATTCGGTCACACAGAATCTCCTGGTTCTTGTACAGCTTCTTTTCAGCTTCACGTACTTTAAAACCTAATAGTTGGGCACAGGCTTCGAGAACAGGGGCATTGTGGGCTTTCATATTCTCTAAGTTTGTTTTGTAGGTAGCAGTGGCACTGTAAGAACACAATACTTTCTTGCTGGGTTCATCTGCAAGGTTTAGCAGGCTTCCAATCGCAATCTTTTTGCTTTCTGATTGTTTATTCTTTAAGCCTGCCATTTCAGTTCTTCAAAACAAGATGATATATGTACAATAATCTATGTACCGTGGTCGTATGTAATGTACAATAAGCATGTACTTGGTAGCCGCTTATCAAATATTTTAAAAGATAAGAGAGCTCACTAATTGCTAACAAATGGAAAAATGCAATTTCAAAAAAGAAATGGTTGTACATTTCTAAATATTTAATCCTGATTTTTAACAGAAACTTATAGTTATACACTGGAAAATCACTGCACTTCCCTTAATTGTATAATATGATCATTGATCTGCACAAACCGGATGGCAATATCAAATATATTACCAAACATCATTTGACAGGAAATTGTGTGAACAGACATAATTAATAATTTTGAACGGACATTAAAATGATTATACTTATAGGTTTATAACCTACGTACCAAAGGCAAAACGCGCACCGTTGGACTCGCAGTCGACAGTCTTTGTGCTTTGGAACAAATATTTTACGAGTATATATATCACCGTTAAATTTAATAAAATGAACGCTCGAGACATTCAAACGGGCTTTGTTATTGGATATATTTGGTAATATTTTTATTAATAATATATAAAATAACATGTATAAAATAATAGCACAAACTTTGAATTTACTTTTTTTCTCCAGTGAACTCCACTCTGTTAATTACTTTCTGGGATTTAGCTTCATTAATAATTAACAATCTTACGTCATGTTTTAATATCAAACATGAAACAATTTATTTTAGCGAAATGGAAACAGTTATAATGAGAAAAGCACGAATACTCGTTTTTGAAACTTTATAATTATATGGTTATACTTACAAGTTATAGTTTGCTTTATTATATCCAGAGCCCTTGCGCTTGCAGCTAGTAGTAGTAGCGCGCGCCCGAAGTGTGCAGAAAGATATAGTTATATTTATAAGAACATTTTTATATGCTACTGCCTACTGGTAAGGTAAAAGTAAATTCTTAACCGCTATTTTTTCGTCACAGTCGGAGCAGAGCCCACATTTTAGCCAAAACACCATTTTACTGCAGCGAGTGCAGGATCTCTTCTCTGGGTATACCTCAACCTGTAACACTAACACTAACAGTATCAAACATGTGTTAGTGTTACTAGTGCAAAAAGCACAAAAAGCACGATTTTTACATATGTATAGTACTCTAGTTAAGTTTTTCAAACGCTAATTAGCGCTAACTTAAACTAGCGTTAGCCATCACGTTTTAAGATTGTCGCAGAATAATCCCTTTTTGTATGTAGCACTCAACGTCTTGGACCGTCACTAGTATGTGTATTAATAGCTCCTTCGTGTAGGTAGGTAATATAACACCCGAGTGATCTAATGAAATGTCACGTTACACATCACGTTACCTAACCAGCTGACATTAAACTCGGTATTCTGAGCTCTCTCGGACGGGTCACGTGAAGTGCACGTGACGCATTAAATCATGTCCCTCTACTCTAAATGCATGTAAATGTAATCTACATCCAAATGGTTCGTTGGTTCGTCAGCACCTTGTGACTCATTTCTTATTCTCGATCTCGTGTCTTTGTAAGCTTACACTAAACGGAAACCTGGCCTGCGATTTGTTAGCTTGTTTTAATCGACGCATCTTTGTTGACGAGACATTTATAACTTCTTGGCAGGTACGTGGAAGATGTATTGTAAAGAGGTTTTCTCAAGTTATAAAACTCAGCTACATTCTGGCCTAGTTCTAATCATGAAATATTTATTAGAAGCGGGGTAGTAAGTAATGTGTTTCGTTTTGTTTCGTGTAACTTACTACATAATGTAAATATTACCAATGCAGATTTTAAACTACAGTTAAATCATAACACTAAACCTATGGAAGGCCGTCATAACTTCAGATACATCTGGTTATTAATTGTAAATGTTTTCAGTGACTGAATTTTAAGCAAATTTGAAAGACGATATTGAGAAGAAAACTATTTCCTAATTCCTCTTGTGAAGACTGTATCCTACTCCAAGTTTTCAGGTTTGTGCATATTTTACAGTATTTGGTATTCAGACAACTCAATCTTCCCCCTAAAATTGGTTCTTGATCAGCCACGTAGCTAGCAATGAGGCAGGGAGGGCGTTAAATGTTTTTCACAAAGCTTACTTATGTATTTTAAGGCTATTTATGTGCCCAGATTGCCGGATAATGTGGCAAAAACCGAAAAATGCTTCAATTTTATCAAACATTTTCCCGAGGCTCCGTCCCCTGGCTGTGATCCGGGACTCGCCTGCCTTGTCAGATAATCTTGATAACGAAGCTGTTCTTGATAAGTTAATTACTTAGTTAATATCAGTTAATCAATTCCTCGATTTATTCGAAGGACATCTCCAGCACGCTATTTTTAAGCTGTAAGATAAAGAAACTCACGCGGAGTATATCAAATTTCAGTGATAAGAAGTACAGGATCAAAACAACTTATTCGAGCAACTACTTCCTAACTGTAATCTATCTTGTGAAGACTATATCCTACCCCAGGTTATTGCAGGTTTGTTAATATTTTACGGTATATAGACAACTCAATCTCTCATTCTATATAAGTTTTTGATTGATTAATTTGTTGATTTATTTGAGGGACATCTAAGTTAGTACCATCTTAGAATACGACAGCTCCAGCACGCTATTTTTAAGCTGTAAGATAAAGAAACTCACGCGGAGTATATCAAATTTCAGTGATAAGAAGTACAGGATCAAAACAACTTATTCGAGCAACTATACTTCCTAGCTGTAATCTATCTTGTGAAGACTATTATATATCCTACCCCAGGTTATTGCAGGTTTGTGAACGTTTTATAGGATTTAATTTAGACGATATAATATTCCTTCTGTGATCAATCATTATTAATTATCAATTACATGCCAAATTTCAGTTAACTAATTGCGATTGAATTACGGCACAGCTAATGTTACATTATTATAAGCTACACTCTACACTCTACAGCTGCCATGAATGCGCCGCTTTAAAAGTATAAATATAAGAAAGTAACATGGAGTATATTTCAGGTTTTGGTTCAAAGAAACAGCGGATCAAACCAACTCATATTCCATCTTAACAGTCTGTAAATCTTATAGCTCTGAACATCAGGTACCAAAATAGAATGATTCATTTATATAATTTTAATGATTGTTCAGGTGGGAAATAACTATCATTGAACCGCGATACTAAATTAATGATGAATCATGAAAGTATACTAGTCTGAGAAAAATTGATATGGAGTATGGACTAAGAAATTTCAGATCCGAAAAGGCTATAACCGGGAAGCATTTAATCTAAAATTAACACAGAAATTGGGTACAATCCGACCGGCTATTAACTTGACTCATGAATGTTATGTAATTTTTGCAATATATAACGATAAAATGAGCATCTACATTCTTCATGTAGAACTAGAAGCGCCACAATTTTTGGGAAAAGGGGTTACAAAAGGGTGCATAATAAATATTGTTATTAATTTTTGGAATCAACACACTGCTTTATACAAAAATAATCGTCTCTTTTCAACAAAGTAATACAAATTGTATCAGCTCTTATTATTTGACGCTGCTCCTAATATATTATAATTCGAAAAGATCTGGCTTTTGACGCAACAGTTACAAATTTATATAACTACTGTTTTATAGGCCAATAAGGAAACACACCACTGAAACAAACCTCGGACCCTCTATTCAATACAAGGCACTAAACGCAAAACGACCACTGAACGACCACTGAACAAGTAAGTCATTAAAAATATTAATTGAAATTTGATAATTATGTACCACGAGAGCTGTGTGATAATATAAGAACCTTGATACGCGCGAAAAGTGGCATGCAACGTATGTCAATAAGAACCTATGTTGATCCTGGAATGTTGGATCTTTCAATCTGCATCAATCCCCTTACAGCTGATTTCATTTCAGAGATATCAATTGATCAACAATGGATAACTATTTGGAAAATGGAAAACAAATATACGAAGAATATTGCTCAACATCTGAAAACCTGCCCACAATGCTTCCAAGAGCACCAGAGCAGACCTACATTGATGTATATCCAGATGAAGATCAGCCTGGTCCCAGCTTTACAGATGACAGACGACATCAATTAGACTACGAGACTGAAGTTAAGGTGTATAGGGCTTTGGAAGAGGTAGATGGAAACTTCATTGTTCTTCACAGTTTCAAATACACGCATCATCAATATCGTTTGTGTGCAGGTAAAAGTCATATCCGAAAAGGATGTTCTAATTGTAAAGGCAAAAATGCAGAAAATCAGGAGGGGGAAAGTGACTTTCTCATCATTTGTGCGGACAGTTTCATTATCATCGAGGTAAAGAACATGGATAATGTTGGAGAGGTTTTGGAATGTGAACCAGACTTCCACCTGTGTTCAATTGGCGAGGACTGGCAACCTCAGTGTAACAGAGACCAGCAGTTGAAAGCATTAATCGGAACGTTCCAGAAATCAGCCAAACAAAGAAACAAGATTGTGGAACTGATCAAGTGTATTGATAAGGATGCAAAAATTCTTCAGTTTACTGCCTATCCTAATTTTAGTAAACAGTTTAAAGATGAGTTTAAATTTAGTGAGATTACAGAACTCCGGTTAAGTGACGATGAACTGTCAACTATCATATTTGAAGAGGACCTTTGTCGCAACAAACTTGAAGACTTAAGGAAATCCTCGAAACATTCGGTGACAATAGAGTCGACAAGTTTGACAGAGCAGTCGTATCTACAGGAAAACTGGCTTTCTCGTTTAGTAAGTTGCTTTTCTCGCTGCTGCAAAAAAGACGCTGTTACAGATGACACGAGTAGCGAACTAGAATTATCAAACTCAGACACTGAGTTATCTAACTCAGACACTGATTCAAACAGGAAATTATTCAAATCAGACGAGAATTTATCTACTTTTGTTGCTCGGTGGGCAGCAAATGTAACTCTGGCCAATTATTCATCTTCAGATTCCCATGAGAGAGTAAGGAACATTTTGTTAGCTATTTGGGCCACAGAGAGAAACACGTGTGATAAATCCAAGTGCAGTTTAGGACGATGTATTATGGATGTCAACAAACAACTTAAGGAAGGTCGCATTACTTTTGAGCCTAAAAAAGGTAAAAACCGTAATCAAAATCCCGCAGTTGTCAAAGCTCCCGATGTTATCAGAAACAATTCTAATGTGGAAAACCTAACAGTAGAACAACACAATGCTTTTGAGTCAAAAGAGAATTTGTTGTTGATTAACGGTCCCGCAGGGGCGGGCAAAACTGTCATATTGTGTGGTAAAATACTGCAACTGTTAGAGTCTGATAAGAACAATAAAGTTGTGGTATTTAAGTTTACTGGAGAAGGGAACAATTCACAGCATTATCAAAGTGCGTTAGATAACGCTAGTATAAAATACGAACTGATACGCACAGATGAAGATGATGACACTCCAGAACAACTTGCTAATCTTATAACAGAGTGTTTGTGTAATGTTATTATTGTGGAGATACCAGGTTATAAAGATACCACATATTTAACAGATAGACTCAGTGTACTAAGTGGTTATAATTTGTTTGTTGATGATATACAGGCAGTTATTGATTACGATACCACAGCTGAAAAGTGCACTTTATTGATTAACAAGTTAAAAGACTTATCAGCAGATAAGATTGTGTGGATAGCATGTGACATTGTCCAGGTTTGGTCGGTATATAACACAGATCTCATTTCAATGGTAGCTAATGTGTTTACTGATATATTAGCACCTCATCAGAGGACTACTTTATCTAGTAACTTGAGAAATACACATGATTTATCGAATATTTTATCTGTAATCAGAGATCAATTCGTTAAATTATGTTCTCTTAAAACAGATATTTTAGATATTATTTTACCTTCACAATCACCTGGACACTTTATACACGGTACATTACCTGTTATACATGTTTTTAATGATTATAATGTTGATAGTATTGTACGTGTTATTAATATTGATTTAGATAGATTGTGTGCTACACATGAATTAAATTATTCTGATATAGGTATAGTATATTCTGATTACACTAATAGTAGTGTAGTATCACTAGTTAAGAAGAGTGTTAATATGAGATGTAATGACACTGCTAGTAAGATTGCAGTGTGTCACAGTAGGTATTGTGCCTCTAGTGAGTGGCCTGCTGTAATAGTACTGTGTGAAGTGTGGGGTAGTGAGGAGAAGGACCTGACTACACTTTACTTAGCGTTATCAAGAGCACGTGTACACTGCTCTGTTGTTATATACCCAGAGGAGGGTGATACATTAGACGAATCACCTTACATGTTACATTTGTTACATAAACTGAGTAACTACGCTCGTATTATATGGTATAAGAATTGATGTTATTGTGTAATAACGTTAGTGGGTGACTAGTTCTATTGTTATGAAACATGTATACATAAGCCTTTAGAATTAGTGTGTGATTGCAAAGCTGAGTGAACTCTTATTACGAACTAATTACCGATTTTTGAAAACATTGAGAATTTGACCAAGCTGGGACTCGATCTCGCTACGTCCGGGCTAGACAGACAGATAAGGCTTATGCTTAACCGATTGCGCCACTGTGCTGATAACAATACAAACATATTAAGCTAGCAATTGAGCGTTATTTTGCAAATAATTTCACCCACTAACCAAACTTAACTATTCGTTATTGTAGTTATTAATATAATGCTAATTACTATGAAATTACTATCCACTATAGAATGTGTTATCATTCATTTTATCTGTCTTTCAGTGAAATGAAAGTGTTTTAAATCATAACAGATGTAGTCTACTTTGATTTTGCCAAAGCATTTGACTCGGTTAACCATGATCTTATATTATTTAAGCTAAAGAGCAAATTTGGTATTGATGGGAGGCTACTGAAATTCATCACTGATTATCTAAGAGACAGGCAACAACAGGTCTTGATAAGTGGCAAGTTTTCTTCTATGAGAAACGCCCAGTCTGGTGTACCTCAAGGGTCAATTTTGGGACCATTGCTGTTCATTATGTTCATTGATGATATATCAGTGGGGATTTCACCAGGCACACAACTGTCACTGTATGCCGATGATACTAAAATTTGGCGTAAGATTGTTTCGGAGTCTGATATCCTGCGACTGCAGAAGGACATTGATTATCTCCATGACTGGTCACTTTCTAATAAAATGAGATTTCATCCCGACAAATGTAAGGTCCTCACCGTCGCAGGACGGATATCCGAAACAGTTTCCCTCCTTAGTGTCCTACCACTCTTTAACTTTGTATACTCCATGGGAAGAATCACACTTGACTATGTTGATCATGAAAAGGATCTGGGTGTAATTGTGACATCAAATCTCGATTGGAAAGATCAGTGCTCCAAAGTCCTTTCTAAGGCAAACCAAAAATTAGGCATGGCGAGAAGAAATTGTTATTTTGTCCAAGACGTAAATCGTCGTAGAGTACTGTATCTCACTTTAGTGAGGAGCCTATTTGAGCATTGCTCGGTTATATGGAGACCAGTCACAAAATCCCAGATAAGCAAGCTGGAGGGCCTCCAAAAGCGTGCTATTAAGTGGATTCTTCACGAGGAGTATATGAGTTATCCACCATCCACATACATTCAAAAATGCAGACAGCTGAAGATTATGCCGATTGAAGACCGCTTTGACTTCTTGGATCTCATCTTCTTCTTTAAAATTGTGAAGCAACATATACCTGTCACTTTACCCTCATATTTGCAACCATTTCAAGGCCACTCAAGGCTCAGAAATAGTCACATGGACTCTCTATGTTTTGTAAGCTCTATCTCACCTCGAGCAAGCTCCAACGCTTTTGCCAAGAATTTCTTCTATAGGACCCACACTAAGTGGAATCACATTCCTCTAGATATCCGTGAGATAGAGAGTATCACTGATTTTAAAAGTAAACTTTCCACTTACATGTGGGGGAAAATTATCCCGGTGGATTCGGACTCTGAACTTGACTATTCAATAGAAACAAATCCGTAAAATAGTTTATTCAAGATTATCTATTCTTGCTGTCTGCATTCACATATTTCTCAATTTCATCTCACAGCACAATATTTTATGAATTGATTGAATGGGTGTGTGATTTTGTTTAAAGTAACTTATTACAATTTTATAAGGGCCCATGCTTGTGCAGGAGCTGCATTTGCACTCATTATCTGTGTTTTGGTGACCCTCAGGTCCTTTGGTTACATACATTTTGTCCGAGACAATTTCAACTTTGACAATCCATGCTTAGAGGACAATATTATATTTAACTAATTCATTGTGTAAACTTGTATGTAATTTGACTGATTTGAAAGATTTCAATAAAAAAAAATGTTTCGTATGATTTAGGGTTGACCAGATTTAGCATAATGTCTAGGTTGAGGTCTAAACAACCTAGTCGGAAAACAAAAAATCTTACCTTTACATATGAATGACTAATAAAGAAAATGACGAATGACGAGACGCAATTGCCAAATTAATTTAATAAATGTAAAGTACAAAAACAGAATTAAATACCAATTCTACACGACAATCTATGATAAACACTTCGTGAATTTGCTGAAAATTGTGAAGTCGTTAGATTTAGAAGCTTAAACTTAAGCAGCAAAATCAGAAAATATAAGCTAATAATTATAACCGTAAGTGTAAGCTCTCCGACAAAATGATGAAATCATTACTGTAATGTAGTAACGGTCAACTGATAAAAAAGAACTAAGCACACGGACCATAATATCAGGAAACACTCTGTCCGGAGAGTTTACTCGCCAACGGATTGACCAATCACACCACATAGAGCTCCCTATTAGTGGAGACAGACCACGTGACTGTAGACGCGACATCGTATTGGTCAAACCAGTAAAACACATACGACTACGAGCAGTTCCCGCCTTTTATCTCTATTTCCTATCCGCTAATCTTTCAAAATTTATCGTTTGTTTATTTTACATCTGTACCTTACAAGACTTTTTTGTGGCGGACCAATTTGCGACGACCGAAATTTTGGCGGTCCGAAAATATGGCGAAATTGAACAAAAACCGTCACATTTCGGACGTCACAGAAAATAAGGGTATTTTTCATCATTTTGTTTTCAGACACAAAGGAAATTCAAAATTTTCTAAAAATCGGTAAAATCATGTTGAAACAAAATGAAACTTATAAATCGATTTCTTCATCTTCCTCTAAGGGGTCCGGCTCGACTCTTTCAGTTTCACGCTGTTCTCCAGTGTACTCCCAGGAGTAAGGTTCTCGGATAAGCTGCTTCATCTTGTACACGATGTCTCCGAGGCCTTTGAAAGTAAGTTTCAACTTGATTTCCAATCCACCGGAGGGTATAGGGGAACGACGGTGTCTGCTATCCTCAACAACTCCATTAATTTCACCACCGTGGCACATGAAATAGTGACAATGTTTACTAACTTCTAACGGAATATGTCCGACGGTTACCAACTGTGGAACAAGCAAACCTCTTCCGTCCTTTATCCGCTTCACGGCACACGCATACCGATCATGTTGAAGAGACACATCGTTAGTTTCCCGATGGATAGTAAACTTCTCACCATCGTAGATATCAGTCCATGTGATTACTTTTCCGGAACAAGATCCTTTTTAAATTGACTTGAGTAATAAGATGATTACTGATTAGTGC